AGGTCAGGGATAAGATTGGGGGAGGAATGGAAACAATTTTTTTTAAGATGAAGCTGGTTTGTGGTACTCAGATTTTTAATTATTCTAATCACTCTTGCTATTGTAATGGTTGGAATTTAAAAAAAAAAACTCCCCGAGTGCAGCGCCTCAGTGCTTAATCCTACGCGAACCATGCAAAAGGCCTTTCCTGCTCTGAAAATTGCTGGGTTTCATACTCTGCTGCCATCTCTGGCTCCTGCCTCCAATTTTTCTGTTTTGCTTTCCCCCGTTCAGCAGCTCACTGATGAGAAAACGTGTATGCAGTTCTCCATCCGCCGTCCCAAACTGCCCTCCTCAGAAACCCACCCGGAGGAGAACACGTACAAGCGTCTTGATGTGTCTGCCTGGCTCCATCACCTGAATGAAGCCGGGCAGGTGGAGGAGGAGTACAAGCTGCAGAAGGTGAGAGGGGTGGCTGCTGCCCGTTTCATCCCTTCGCTCCTGCCGCGGAGTGAGTCCCCAGGCAGAAGCTGCAAGAGTTTGCTTTCATGCTGGGGGCAAGAACTGGGCATTTGAGAGTGTAAAGACTGGTGTATGGGTCTTGGCCGGAGCTCTTGCTGGGACTGCGGATGAGTCCGCGACAGGCAGGGTGGTAGAGCATCTCCCTGCCCGAGGCGAGCGAGCTGTCCGGCTTCTAATGCCGGTTGGAATTAGGAAACCGCAGTGTCCTGTGCTAGACGCGAAATGCAGTGTGAGCAAATCAAAGAAAGAAAAATTGAGATTACTGTATGGAATAATGGCAGGGCTTGCGGGGGAGCACTGGGTCCAGGTCCTGAGAGAGAAGTTTGCAGTGAAACGCAGTGTCTCCAAGATTGGGGATTAAGCCGTGACATGAGAACGACACGTTAATCATAGAGCCTCTCCAGGGGGGGTTATTGACATTGAAATGAGCCCGATTTGTGTCTCGTCTGGGAATAGAAGGCCAGCACTTTCCCTCTAAACATGTGCAAATTGCAGGAGCTTGAATCAAGGCGTCACTTGTCAGGAGAGAACTGCAAAGCCACCAAAGCATAGTAGCGGGCAGTTTCTTGTTGCTGTTTTGGGGAATGTTAAAACTGTACCAGTCATAACTTTTGCTCCTTCTTCCAGGCCATTTTCTTTGGTGGGATTGATATTTCCATCCGTGGGGAGGTGTGGCCCTTCCTGCTGCACTACTACAGCTACGAGTCCACCTCTGAAGAGAGGGAGGCGCTGAGGCTGCGGAAGAGGAAAGAGTACTTTGAGATCCAGGAGAAAAGGTAACGGAGCCGCTTCACCCTCCCCTGCTCATCCCTCCTCAGGCCTGAGGTCGCACCAGTGCCGCTGGTGAGGTACGGAGTCTCTGCCTCCTTGGCTTCAGGAGAAGCTGCCTGGAGCGGAGAAGCGAGAGAGTGGCAAAGGAGGTGTGTGAGGCACAGCTGACCTCCTGCGGGTCTGGAGCTGGTACCGTACAGCTCAAATGTTGTCTTACTTGGGGTCTTGAAGCGGGCTCGTCAGTACCACATAGGGAAGCTTATCTCGCAGGCAGGACTACAAGCTGAACATGCTTGGTTTAGAATGCTGAAGGTAAAAACGGGATCTTATATGTCTTTATAAATATATCTGGATATAAAAATAGGGAAAAAGAAGGGATATCTAATTCAAGGAAATTATTACTGCAAGAACTGTGCGTTGTAAACTGGTTGTGGGTACTTTTAAGCTGGAGAGGGAGAGTAGTGTTATTAATTAGGAGACAATCAAAACGGAGTGGTGACTTCTGGTGTGCCACCCACAAGGAGCAGTGGAGAGCAGAGTCCAACTGCTTCTCAAGTGGAATTTATCGCAGAAAACACATCGTGTCATCCCATTTATAACCCAGGAGGCTCCTTCTAGTAATCTGTTTGGACAGAATATCTGCTGTTCTGGACAAACCTGCTTGTCTGTTTTTCAGGTGATGAGAAAACTCTGTACAGGAATAGTTTTTCTCTGCAAACTAAAGCTGAAATAAGGCTTTTTGTTCCTTGTGGCGATCATATTCTTCTCTTGGTAACCTACTCCTGTTGCTGCTCAATTTCCAGGCTTTCAATGACTCCAGATGAACAGAAGGATTTTTGGCGTAAAGTACAGTTCACGGTAGATAAAGACGTCGTGAGGACTGACCGCAGCAACCAGTTCTTTCGAGGGGAGGACAACCCAAACGTGGAAACTATGAGGTGAAGTGTCTAATTCTAGTGTCCCAGACAACGTGTCCTACTGAATGTACAGAAAACCTGGTAATCCCCCCTGGCCCAGGCTGCCCAGGGCGCTGCCTTGGGAGTGCTGAAGAGCACCATGCGTATAGCGACTGTACCAAGTGATGCAAAACCAAGGGCTTCTTCCCCAGTGCGTTCACTGCTGCTTTGGGTATTTACTTCTTGATATAGTAGCCCTACTCCCACCACCTACCTTCCCGGCATCCACAGGCACAGAAGCGGTGTGAGCTCTCTGCGGCTGTGGAGGGTCATGGGCGCTGCAGTGGGGTTGTGGGTAGTTGCTTGGGTCTGTGGTTCTCCCAACGGGGCGGAGGACGAGCACACCAGAGTCTGCTTCATGGGTGTGTGACTTGTAAACGTGTGCCTATGAAACAGTTGAATTTCATCTAACGGTGTGGCTTGGAACCTCACGGATGTGTAGGGATCAGCAATCCTATCCCATGGGCCCTTCATTTCTCTCCTCTTAGTCTTTTTAAATTCTCGTTTTCTTTTTATATTGAAAACCTTCTCCTGGAGTTTATTTCACTGGGTGATGTTTGCAGCAGAGTTTATCTGTACGTGTTAAAGCACCGTACACCAGGGTTGCATGTCGTTCTACCTGAGATGAACGGTGTTGCTTGTTCCTACTGCACCGCTCCCAACAGGCTGTACTGCAGCTGGAAAACAGGAGCCTAAGGACTTCTGTTCAAATCCATTGTCTTAGGCTGCTGCATGCTTTTCGGAGTTCTTGTTGCCCATCCAGGAGCCGCTCTGGATTGATAAAACATGTTGTAATCCTGAAAAAAAAAAGGAGAGTTCCAGTTACGTATAGTGCTAGTGTATCTTTGTTATGCTTCTAGGTATCATTCTTCTAGGGAAACTGTTGTGTGGGATGCAACATGCTGCACAGGTGCTCAAAAGTTGACAAACCTCTGGGTGCAATTGCAAGTTAATCTTTTAGACGGCAGGAGTGATCTGCTGCTCTTCTGCACTTTGCCTGTCTCAGACGGTGTGGTGGGAGTTGGGGTAAAGGGACAGGGCGCTGCGCTCAGCTGTGACGTGCCCTCTCAGTGTCTCACCTCTCCGTTTGCATCTCTTCTCCAGGAGGATTTTGCTGAACTATGCAGTATTTAACCCAACGATTGGATACTCCCAGGGGATGTCCGACCTGGTTGCCCCGCTCCTGGCGGAGGTCCTAGATGAGTCAGATACTTTCTGGTGCTTTGTAGGATTGATGCAGAACACAATCTTCATCAGCTCACCCCGGGATGAGGATATGGAGAAACAACTGGTGAGGCTGAACGCTGAGCTCCCTTTAGCCCTGTCTTTAGCTTCTCCTCTCCACAGGCAAATTAGAAGAATGCCATAAAGCAGTGATCCGGGCTGTTGGGTTCCAGCATGCTGAATCACACTCCAACACAACCACAAAATACCTGATGGATAAAATTGATCCTGGGTGATTTGGGCACTCCGGAGACAGTTACACCCAATAAATTGTCAGAGTAAAGTTGACTTGACTATGCTAAAAGGTGCTGATTCAAGGAATCTTTTATGATCAAATGTATTTAGGATGCTGCTTGCATTGTCTTCATACTTCTCTCAGGCAGTGAAGACTCACTGGTTCATTTTTGTCCTGATTCTGGGGCATTTGGTGTGAATGCGGCAGAGGAGTTGATTGAGCCGCAGCCCTCTGTTGGTTTTTTAAGGTCTTCATATTTTTAATAGATTTTTAAAATTATCTCCAAATGAAAAGCCTTATCTATCTGACAGGGTTTCTTAAAATAAGGTGAACTTGTTTAAAAGTGAGAACTTTCTAGGTTTTAACACGAGTGTCCATTGTTTGCTGGTTAAGATCCTGAAAAATTCATTCTAAACCTGAACAATCCTGTCCAGGTCACGATGGCACCAATTTAAAGCGGTAAACTTGTGGTAGAAACCCCATGGGAGGCTGCTGGTGAGGTGCAGTTAGTTAATGTACAGATTTATGCACTGTAATGTGCCTGTATAGTCAGACTTTCCAAAATCACTTCCATATTGCTCGGCCTCTATTGAAATGAAATATTGCCAGAGATAGCTATGTCCTTTCTTTTCTCTGGCTTTTAAGGCTCTAGATGCTTTCCCCAGCCCGAATCTCTCCCTTTCTTTCTTTTCACAATGGGATTGTGAATTGTCATGGGATTTTCTTTTCACCCTCCATCCTTTCTCGTGAAATAGCTGCCGTGGCCCATGAGATCTGGCCTTTAATGAGAGATCCAAGTGTGCTCCTGGCTGTGCTGTAATGAACAGGCCGGAGCTTTTTGCGAGAGCAGAGACCCACGGCCGGCTCTGCGGGAGCCCAGGTCTGGCGGCCGGTGCGGGGCTCCCGGGGGGGTGGGTGAGGGCAGCGCGAGTCTGTGGGCACAGGGCAGTGGCTCAGCTTGGAGCATCTTTTCCAGATGTACCTGCGAGAGCTGCTGCGGCTCATGCACCCACGCTTCTACCAGCACCTTTCTTCCTTGGGAGAGGATGGCCTGCAGATGCTTTTCTGTCACCGTTGGATCCTCCTCTGTTTCAAACGTGAATTTCCAGATGCTGAGGCTTTGCGCATGTGGGAAGCGTGCTGGGCTCACTATCAGGTTAGACATCTGGGATGGGCACAGCGCGCTTCGGGCACTAGGGTGTCCTTTGCTGAATCCTCACCGTCTCAGCAAGTGTCGCAGAATTTCCATAAAGGCTCTTAGTAGCAAAGTATCCAAAATAAATAAGTGTTACAGAGGGTCTGTAACTATCGAAGAGGTTTAGCTGTGTAGCAGGAGGACGGACGCTTGCCTCTCCTACTTGAGGATGTCCAGGGGCCAAAAGGAGTTTTTTCAGAAAGTGCTGAACATCCACTTCTGAAGTTCAGACGTCTCTTACACAGCTGAAAAATGTTTTCCCAAAAATCACTAGTCTGCTTTGAAAGCTGTGGTGCAAACCTCACTGCCGAGTTGTAAAGGGAAAAGACTTTGGCTCAGCTGTGGTTCAGAATTCACTAATAACGCACATTCTGTATATCACTAGGCAGAACTGGAGGGAGCAAAAAATCTCACTAAGGACGTGCTCGTGGAGAGTGGGGAGGTTAAGTCCGACCGCTGCCTCCACCTGCTGTACTCCAGCCCCTCTTTTCTCATTGCAGACAGACTATTTCCACCTCTTTATCTGTGTGGCCATCGTGGTGATTTATGGGGATGATGTCATCGAACAACAGCTGGCCACTGACCAGATGCTGCTGCATTTTGGCAACTTGGCTATGCACATGAACGGAGAACTTGTACTCAGGAAGGTAAATGCCCGTGTGTGCTGTGGGCTGAGTCTCGGGTCCAAGAGATGAGTCAGAGCATTGAGAAAATCAGGGGCTGATGCTTCATCTTCCACATCTCCTGTATCCCCCTGCTTGTCTAGATCCTGGGAGGGTGGGATGGTGCTGTTTGCCTGAAACAACTTTTGCAGAAATAAGAGGTAGTTGTAGAGTGCTTAGAAGGTAACGGTGTGGCTGGGATAACCCTTGCACATGCTCAGGGAAACAGCAGACAGAGCTGTTGGTCTTCATGCCACGGTCCTCAGTCCGCCTCGGGCTGGGAGCGACTGCAGGCCGTGGGGTGTGCTGCAGCTCCTGTGACCTGGCGGTGTCCCCAGTGCCTCGTGTAACCTTCAGGTTTGCATTCAGGGGGGGGGATGCTGCTTTGCTGAAGCTTTGACTCTTCTAAGGCAGCCAGGCAGGAGGCTGGGACAGGAGGCCACGGGCTCCCCCTGCTCTCCATGTTCGTCCCCTGGTGCGCAGGGAATGACTCTGTCTCTCTCCCCTCCAGGCGAGGAGTCTGCTCTATCAGTTCCACCTGCTGCCCCGCATCCCCTGCAGCCTGCATGACCTCTGCAAGCTGTGTGGGACAGGAATGTGGGACAGTGGCTTCATCCCCGCTGTGGAGTGCTCTGGCCATCACCCAGAGTCCGAGAGCTGCCCGTACGGGGGACTGGCGGAAGTGTCTTCTCCTAAACCAGGAAGCGAAGGCAAGAGAGGCTTGAAAACACGGGACGTCTTTGCTTTCCGAAAATAGCTGTAGAGGAACAGGGTGTGACGGCGGAAGAGGGAAGGGCAGGAAGGATGTGCATAGGAAAAATGTTGAAGACAAAAATGGAGGGATAGCTTGTCAAGGCTCCTGAGAAAACTGAAAGGTGGAGAATGGACAAGGGATGAAATCATTCTAGAGGGAAAGCAAAGTCCGGTGCACTGGTGGTGGAACCTGAGCGAAATGCATCAAACCAGGAACAGTGTTTGCACGTGTTTGGATTTGATTTTGTTAGAAACATAAAGCTTTTCTAGGTCTTAACAAGGAGTTTTTATTCTGCCTCTGGGATTGGACTGGTTAGCAACCAGAACTCTGTTACTTGCTGATGAGAAATGAGAATGCTGAAGAGAGCCGGGTACAACCAGCAGCGTTTGTGGGTCAGGTGGAAGGAGCAGAGCTGTGGCAAGACCTCTCTCTGCGACGTCCCCTCATCCAGAACATACCACACACATGCACTCTCTGCTTCAACCAAAACGTGCAGCTTAGTGGCTTCTCTCTAAAGCCATAAAGACCACTTTAATTACAATCTGCCAAAAATAAAACTTCAGACTGTTGGGGTTGCCGGGAAGGTATCCGTTTGTTGGCGAGGAAGAACTGGTCACCTAAAGGTCTTGTCTCTCGCCTTTTCTTTTTTTTTAAATGGTATACTGGCTGGCACGATTGTTTTTCCATTTGTACAGAAAGTGTACAGCCACAGGTCTTAAAGCACTGCTCTTCCATAGTCAGGGTATTTCACAGACACCTTTCAAAGTTTACTTCTTCATGACGTTACAGCAAATCTGTTTGTTTATGCTGACAACTACAGACTTTAGACACGTGTTTATGGAAGTCTGTTGTTTCCAGTATGTTTCCCAATGTGTTTCCTTTGGCTCTTCTCAATTACTATTTACTGTCCTTACCCATCTTTCCCATCGGCCGTAGCACAGACGCTCCAAGAGGGCTGCAGGCTCCTCAGCTACTGCCGGTATTGCACCTTCTTCCCCATCCCAAAGGGAAAATGCAGCTTGGTTTGTTGCAGTCATTTTTGCTGAACTCTGTCTCTGATAAAGGTTTCCCTTGAAGTATTTTTTGAAAGGACATCGTGTTTCCCCTCATCTTCTATAAAATTTGCCAACTGGAAGTGGAGCTGGGCCCTGTGCACAGCCGCGTTGCCAAATGTCCTTACCCAGTTCAGTGGCATCCAAATGTGTGTCCTGAGCCAGCGCTTGTGCCAAACAGAGCCGGGGGAATCGTTTCCTTCCAAGAATGAAAAAGGAGACGAGGTGACAGTGGGCTGTACCAGCTTTGCTGCATCCCTCTGCATGCATGGCGTGTGAAGTCTTGCAGCCTTTCCCAGTTGTCTTGCTCCCTCTCACTTCAACCGCGCTGCTCTTCATGTTCAACTCTGCCTTGGTCTGGCGGGGGTGGAGTCCCTGCTCACTTTTCAGCTTTGCCTGTCAGGTCCTGTTAGCAGCACATGTGGAAAACCCCGTGTCCTCGTGTGTAGTGCCGCAGCGGGTTCCCGCATCTGACAATTCCTCTGAAAGTCTTTCCACGAGGCTGTACCCAGAGCCTGTTGTGGAGCCCGCCTGCCCCATAGCTGCTGGGAAGGGAGGCTGGCAACTGGGGTGCTTTGCGTGAAACCAACACAAACCAAGTGCACGCTGCCTTGGGACGGGGAAGTAGACTTGACCCTATATGGGCACTGCGCCAAAGAGTGGCTGTTGTCTGGCAGAAGGACAGTTTGGCTCCTGATCTGTGTGCCTTTAATCCAGAGGATGAAAACCTTCCCCTTGATGAGAGCAATGGTGAAACCTCCTGCAGCGTCGCACACCTCCAGAGTAGCCCCATAGCCCGGCTTCGAGAAGTGCCGAGGCTGCAAGGCTGCGGGCGCGTGCTGGCGTTGTAGGAGGTGACACCTCGTGTAAGGGCCGGTGGCTGCTCTGCTGTGAAGCAGGGAGTTCTTTGAGATTTATGATGTTTCAGTGAATAATAAAAGTTTGTGTGAGGCGTTGGTGTGGTACGTTGCTGTGCAGGCTGGGTGCCGTACCCTATAGCTGGGGACAGCGCGTGGCTAGACACCGTCCCCGCAGCTTGAGCCACTCCTTTTGCAGCTGCACCGAGAGGCGTGATGGGTGCTGGGTCTGCGTTGCGCTCTGATCCCAGCCTGGGCACGTGCGGCAGCACTCCGTGTATTCATCTAGAAATGAGCTCTGAGTGCCGGCGGCTGAATTAGGGTCAGAAAAACCACGTGTTAGAAAATGCCAGAAGCATCTTCCTACAGAACGGCTTGGTGGTACGCGGGCAGGCGTCACCTCCCCACGGGGACAGCAGGAGCCAGGCACCCACCGCCTGCTGCCACTTGCCTCCTTGCACGGGACAGACATCGCCGCCAGGACTCTGCGCCGCCGTGGCTCATCTGCCAGCGCCAAAGCGGCCCAGTGCCTCCCCGGGAGCGCTGCCCGAGGAGCGGCCGGCGCGTGGGCAGCTCTGCCGGGCTCTGCGTGCCGGGCACGGGGTGGGCAGAGCTTTCCTGGGCTCTCCGGCTGCTCGCGGCGGGCTGGGAGGCACCAGCAAACCCCCACCAGAAGATCCGGAGCTGGTTTTGCTGCAGCAGTCATTCCCAGCCAGTAGAAGACAATGGGAAGAGATGAAGTAGATAATTTTTAGCATTATTTTTCCACTATTAAAATGTCATTCAGCAATGTGGAAGTCACTCAGGATTTGTTTAGTTAAAGACTCTGCACTGCAGTTTTCCAGCACGTGGGAAAAGCTGTTTTTTTTCTGTTTGAAGCCGTGCTCAGCTGCGTGGGAGCGCATCGCCGGGACCAGCGTGCCACCCCTGGGCCAGCTCACCTGCGCCTGGTGTCCCCCGCGGGTCCCGCTGCCAGCGGGAGATTTCAGGTGTCTTTCTACTGCAGCTCACCACGGGGAGCTCCGCGCGCTCCGCTCACACGCAGAACTCCGCTTTGCAGTAGTCAGAGAAACAGAGACAGAGCTGGTAAATAAAGAAACGGGCTGCTCCCTCTTTGCCTGCTGCAGTCACATCCCGGGTGGTTTAATTCCAGTCTCAGCCTGTTCATTAACTCCCGATGCCATTATCAAATTCACACCGGATATCCACAAACTACCGAGGTTGTTTTGGGTGGGGGGCGCGGGGATGGGAGGGTGTGTGGAGCCTCTGGCAGCAGTGGGGAAAGGTCAGGAGCAACCTCGGGGTTCCTCTGTGGTGGAAGAAAGGCAACAAGTCAAACGCTGGACAGGGCAGCGGGTTTCCGAGGTTCTTCCGACCTGTCCCCAAGATCGCCTTTTCCTTTGTGACACTCTTCGCCTGCTGAAAAAAAATAACGAGGAACAAAAAAGAAGCAAGGCTTGTGGCCCCTGCAAAGGAGTACAGTGGATCCTAGAAACAATGACCCTCATGTGGCTTCTCTCCTGAATTGCTGCCCTGTTCATTGAATTAGCTGCAGCTGAGCAGCCAAAAATAGACCCTTGCAAAGGTAAATAGTCAGCATAAGCCTCTTTAGACTCAGCCTTGAGCTGACACATCCTTCTGCCTCCTGGTGCCGGGGGGAAGGGGAGCAGGGCGAGCAGGAAAAATAGAAAACTGAGTCCTTGCTGCTGGCAGCGGTAACACTACGCGTTGTAATCCAACGGGGAACCCGATCGCCTGCACCTGGAAAGCCGAGGAGAGCGCTGCGTCTCCCCGACCCCTCCCGGGACGGGGACCGGGCCGTGCCAGCCGTGTCCCGTCCCGCGCTGCCCCGCACCGTCCCGGGCTGGGAGGAGGCAGCCCGCCGCCCCCCACGGCGGCACATGGGGGCATCGATGAAACGGCTGCATTTGTCGACGGCGTTAAGCGTTGACCCCAGAGCGGGGCCGGGCGCAGAGCAGCGATGTTCAACCAAACGCTGCTGGAGTCGCCCGCGCTGGGGAAGTGTGCCTTTGTGAAGTGGAGCGAGGAGGCGAGGGTTGGCGAGGTCTGGCTGCCCGGGTACGGGGTGTGTTTGGACACGGCTGTTTGGCTGTTTTGTTCCAGGGACGCCGTCTGTCAAATGAAAAATTACAGTGCACAAGAACAAAGAGACTCACCTGAGTTATTACAGGCACCAAAGAATTTAAACCCCAACTTAGCTTGTCCCCTGTGGGCTAGCTGATTAATCCCAATGTCTCTCTGCGTTTGGGTCATAAAAATAGACCAGTCTGGCCGGCTGTAGTTCACGGCCACATCCCGCTCCAGGGGCTGGCCCGGCCCTGCCCTGCCTGTGCCCGGCGCTCTGGGGAAGGCTCCGCACACCATCGATTTCTCTCATTTAAGCATTTAGAAACACAACGTGCAATGAGGCTTCGCACCACCTGGGAAGAAAAGCAACGGCTGCGGCGAGTCCCCGGCAGGGGCCGGCGGGAGCACCCTCAGCCTTTATTGTCCAAGGGGAAGACAGACCGTCTCCCTGCGGCGAGGAGCTCCTTTGTGAGCGGCCGGGCCGGTGCTGCCCATCCCAGGGCCACCAGAGCACCGGTGGGGAAAGCCCTCCTCCAGCCACGCGTGGCTCAGCCCCGTCCCAGCCCTTTCCCAAGCTCTTTGCCCTTTCTCGCACCCCAAAAGCTGCCCGGTCCCCCCTTCCCCCTCTCCCCGTAGGTGGCTCCAGAGCCAGGTTTTTCTCATGACAAAACTGGAAATTTAGAGGACGGTCCTTAAATATTTTTGTGGCCAATTTTATTACAGTTTGCATTTCAGCCAAGAGCTTCAACATCATCCAAGTACCTAAAAATCGCCGCTCTTGAATGGAGTTCATTTCTCCTTCTGGTTATGAAAGACAACTCTCTCTTAGTTTGAGCTTAAAAAGGGCTTTGAAAAATAGCTCAGCTGTGAAGGTCCGGGCTGCCCGGTTCCAAACCTCTCCGGGTCACAGAGCTGAGCTCTGACTCCCTTTGGGCCGTGCCTGCCGTCGAGCTGGGCTTCCACCCTGTCCCACATCCCTCTCAGCAGGTGCCTGGGGTCCCAGTTCACCCTCCTCCTCCCCAGAAAACTGAAGTTTTCTAAGACAAAAGCAGGATCTTTTCAGAGCTTGTCTTCTGCCCGTGCCTCGCCGC